CTCCGAAGAGCCAGGACTGGGCGTCTGGGACATATTGTGCGCCAGGGCCTGGGCTGCTCCCCACAGGCTGCGTGTGGGGGTGGGGAGCCCATTCCTCAGCACCCCACTGCACCTGGCTGGGCTGGAGCTGCCAGACCTGGGCAGCCCTGGGCTTTGCCTACCCCAGCCCAGGAGCCACAGCCTGCAGGCAAAGGGTTGGGCTGGGCAGGAAAGAGATTCTGCCTCTCCTGCATTTCCTTGTCATAGTGCTGCTGCCCTGATGGTGAGTGATATGGGAACAGGAGGGGGGTGAAGGAGGATGCAGGGCAGAATGTGAGGGGGCAAGGGTTGCATTGAGGGGCATGGAGCGATGCAGGGGATCAGGCTGGGGGTGGGGGATCATGGAGCTGAAGGAAGCAAGGCTGGAGCAGAGGGAAGATGTGAGAGAGGGATACAATACTACTTTGCAAAAGCTGCACTTTCCTTTACTCCCCACTTCTTTGCCTCCTTCCCCAACTAGCTATTTGGCTGCATTCTCACCCTCTTACCGTTTTGGTGTTACACCTCCTCTCGCCCCCAAAGCCCCTCTTGTACCTCTACCTCACACCCTCTTCTGCCACCAAACACCCTTCCAGACCCTGCCCTCCTCACCCCATCCTGCATCCCTATCCCACTCGCTGGCAGCCCCGTCCCACACACTTAACCCCTCATTTTTCTTCCCACCCCAGAGCCTAAGGGGGGGTCCACAAAATCCACTAACTCCAGAACCCCAGAAAAATAAATCTGGTCTATGGGAAACCCTGAACCTCAGTCCTCTCTGTCCCTTGCCCCCACCCCGTGGGGGCTGGAGTGCAGAGGAGTGAGGTGTCTCAGTTGCGGGCCTCATCAGTGAGCATTGGAGATTTGAAGAGTTGTTTTGCTTCTCACTTGTGTGGTCCCCAACTGATTTTTCTGTGGGTCAGTGACCCCCCCAACCCAAAAAAATGTTCCCCGCCCCTGCCATAAAGAAAACATTGAAACCTTTTGTGTTGGATATATTTTACTCTATTGAAATTAAGTTTGGGAAACTAACATGAGAACGTTAAAATTTAATAATTTTAAATTAAACCATTCTCTCCAGGTGCAGCACTAGCAAAATGGCTCGGATGTAATTATGTAATTAACGGTAAGTTTCCATTAGCAACTGGTGGTCTGCGGAAAGGTTTACATTAAGCCAGGTGGTTCATGGGCCAAAAAGTTTGAGAACCACTGAAACAGAGGCATCCCCGGCCTTTCCTGCCGAGTTAATGCAATACAAGTTGGTTTAATGCAGTTGCAGCATAGTTGCATGGAGGATTTGTATAAGGCTCAAACCCAACCCTATTGATAGAGGATGGTGGGTGGAGTTCTTAGAGGGGGCCACAAGACACCTTTTATTTCAGGTCATGTGTCCATCTTGACTCCTGGGAGTATTACCTCCAGGGATGGGATTTCTTGTGGCAGGTGGGCATGGCTAATGGGGGGTAAGGAGGTGTGACTAATTGAGGTCAGGGGGCATGGCTAAAATGTCCCCTAATTTTGGTTCAGAAAATATGGTCACAATGCTTATACTGGACTATTTTTTAATCCCATCCCCAGGCAATGTGGTCACAGACCACGAGCTGCTCTCAGTCACCCCAATCCTATACCAAGAGCAGTTATAGAGTCCAAGGGCTCCCCACAGTGGGCTGGGATCTGTGGCCTGCTCTTTCCACAGCCTGCCTCATGTTTCCAGCCTGGTCAGGGAGCACAGCCAGAGTGGGGGGAAAGAAGGTAGAGGTGCAGGGAGTTCCAGAATGTATCTGCTTTTGCATTTTGAAAAGGTGGTCTCCTTCCTCTGGATGGCGTTGGCTGGAGCTATGCTGTGAGTTCAGGGTGGAGTCCATATCCAGCCCCCCATCAATGACACGGTCACCCTTCCTGGTTGAAAAACCTTGCTCTGACACTGAGTGTATTCAATTACAAATTAACATCAAGGCATATAGATAAAATACAAATAAAAACTAATGGCAGAGAACAGATTTAGAGGTGAACACATGATCCATAGATGCCCAGCAAAAGGATTGTGTTAAAGATCTTTGTGCACTGACCACTATATAAACTCAATCAGGGTTCAATTAAAATGTTCTAATTGGTACATGAATTGTTAAATTTCAATGTATATTTCTAAAATCAAATCAACATTTTTGTGTTTCAATTTCATAACCTAAAATACTGGGTTTTAGATTAAAGGTAACTTGTACTCCAAACTCTGAAGTTTTATTTATAAATTCCTGTTACAGTATTTCATAAGCCTCAGCACATGTCAGAAAAAATATCTCCCAAGAACCCAAGGGCATTACAAAATGGAATAGGAATTAATCTTAAAATTTTGGACTGGGTTTGAAAATCAATGTTCAATACCATCATTAACTTCCTACTACTATTCTTTATTTTTTTAACATAGATGTACAACACAGGTCTCCCATAATGATTTTGGCATAATGCCTTTCTTTATTGCCTCTGGATAAATCTCCCTTGAGTCTCCCATTAATTTCATCTAAATGCCCAGTTGTGAGCCGCTCCAAATCAGCATGTTTATTGTGCTTTAAATTTAGTTTTCTTGAATATTTTTAACCTCAAGGTTCTATTTCGTAATCTTCTGTTCTGGCTGTTCTATATGCATATATAAAATTAAACTCCTGTCCTTATTTTGAATGGTATCTTATTTTTTGCATTGTGAGGATACAACACTATTTTCTTCTTCTGCACTACAAAAGCTCTGAAAAATATTTTTGGGTTTATTAAGGCCCAGAGTTTGGGGGAATAAAAGAGAAATTATTTTTTCTATCATAAAAGCCTTATCCACAATGGAAAATCTATTGACTGGTGAAGTATTAGTATTTGTAGTATTTGTTTAAGAAATTGTAGTTAAATTTGTTAAAACATTTAGATTCTGATATGGTGCTGAATAGGGTTTGTCTTTGCCTACCCTTGAAGCTGTTCTGTTTAGAATCAGTTTACCTGAATCTGTTACTAATACCTAATGACAAAATCTGGCACATCTTATAACACATACAAGGCTATAGAAAGAGTCTAATTTACACATGTGTTTCCATAGCTTTATCAATGCATGAAAAGTTTTATGAATTTCCTGATTGTGGACGCAACTTACAAGGAAAATACAAGAGCAAAACTTGGTGGTTTTCTTAACAAGGAGAAACTTGAACTTGACCTTCAACCTAAGCCTTTGCTGTTCTTGTAACACTCAGTTTATATAAAAATAAACACTTTCTAAAAACAGAAAACAAAACAGAACAATACTTCTTGCTATTAGCAGAGAAGTGTATTCTGCTGGTTGAACAAATTACTAAACCACCATTCATCAATCACAATATCCACCATTCTTTAGCAAATCACACCTAGGCCTGGTCCGCATTAAGAATTTAGATTCCTATAGCTCTGACTCCAGGAGTGAGTGGTATGAAAAATCTGCATCCTGAGGGAGATACTGACCTAATCCCTGGTGTATATAGAGCTAGTTTAACAAACGGATCCTTCTGTAGATCTAGCTTCTGCCTCTGGGGGAGATGGATTAAATATAGCAAGGGAAAAACCAATTGACCCTGGCTCTGAACTTGACATGTGCTTTTTCTATGCAGTGTAGACATTGTGGCTGTGTCTTGACTGGCAAGTTTTTCCGCAAAATCATTTGTTTTGCGGAAAAACTTGACAGCTGTCTACACTGGCCGCTTGAATTTCCGCAAGAACACTGACAATCTCATGTAAGATCGTCAGTGTTCTTGCGGAAATACTGTGCTGCTCCTGTTCGGGCAAAAGCCCTCTTGCGCAAATCATTTGTGCAAGAGGGCCAGTGTAGACAGCACAGTGCTGTTTTGTGCAAAAAAGCCCCGATGGCTAAAATGGCGATCGGGGCTTTTTTGTGCAAAAGCACGTCTAGATTGGCATGGACGCTTTTCCGCAAAAAGTGCTTTCGCGGAAAAGCGTCCGTGCCAATCTAGACGCTCTTTTCCGAAAATGCTTTTAACAGAAAACTTTTCCGTTAAAAGCATTTCCGGAAAATCATGCCAGTGTAGACATAGCCTGTGTGTCTCTAGGAATGTGGATGTTTGGAATTGTTATGGGGAAACATGACCTATGGGGGTGGAATAGAGGGATGTGTGGTATGGATGTGGAGGGTTATTTGAAAATATAGTAAATATGTGTAGTGGGGTGGATTTGGGTACAGGATCTGTAGTGAGTTGGTTACATGGTGTGGAGTGTGTAATGGTTGGGGATGGGGATAGTGGGCTGATGGGGCATTTGTAAATGTGATGTACAGGGAGTGGAGAGAGGGGGTGCATGATGCATATTGGGGACGTGGTGTGGAATGGGCGGAACTGAGGGAAGGTGGAGAGGAGGAGCGCTGAGGAGGAGCTGGGAAGGGAGGTGGTGTGTCCCGGGCAGCAGCTGGAGGCAGGGCGGAGGAGGATTTGGGGAGGGGCGGTATGTTTGGCCAGGAGGCAGAGCACTGGACTCCAATCTAGGAAGCTGGGTTCTGACTCCTGGGTCAGGTGGGCCCGGGGTCTTCGCCTTGGTCCCCACTTCACAGCTGGCCCCTCCCACGTGCAGGGGCAGGCCGGCTGCAGGGACACAGCGGCAAACGGTCGCAAGCAGAACCCCAACGGCGCGCCCGCTACCGTTTGGGATGGTAGCAGCGCGCGCCGCCGCGTCACGCGCTCTGCTCTCTGTCAGGTGGCGGTGGGTGGGAGGCAGGGAGCGCCGCTCGCGCGCCTGCGCGGAGGGAGTGGCCGGTCGGGGAGTCCAGCTCTCGCGCTGCAGGGGAGGGGAGCGATC